TCAAATATAAATATATATATATATATATATATATATATATATATATATACCCACCTGAACACACTGTTAGATTTTATTATATAAGTCAATGTTTTCATAATAAAATTGGTTCTAAGCAAACAATGTTGTTAAAATTTTCAAGATATATATGATAAGCATGTGAGGTTCAGCCTATAATATCTGTTAAAAATATTTAGAATAATTTATTTGGTAGTGGGAGATTTCATGTAACTCAAGGGTTACTGGAAATAAAGATAAAATTATAGTCTGTATGAATTTCTGCGATGAGCACTTATCATTATTTACATGCAGACGATTGTCCTCATCTTTGTTGTTGTTATCACAAGGTTTTGGCTGTTGTGCCCTCTGTCTATCATCAGGTGTATATCAATCTGTGTAACCTATAGGGAATTCTGAACTGAACCCTTTATTTAATCTATCCATGTCTAGATATACCTTGTCTAGTTCTTATTTTTAGTACTGCTCAGTTATTGCTCACCCTGTTCCCACTGAGTCCAAGTAAGCACTGCCTGGTCCAGGGATTGAACTCACAATTACTATATTACCATATTCACAAACCAACACTTTTATCCATGGGATAATACTGGATTAAAGCATTGATTTGTAAAGTTGGTCACATAGTAACTGTGAGTTCAATCCCTGGGCCAGGCAGTGTGTACTTGGACTCAATTGAAACAGGATGAGCAATAACTGAGCAGTACTAAAAATAAGAACAAGATAAAATAACCCTTGACATGGACATTGGAATGAGAACAATCTACCCTCATAGATTAAATAAAGGGTTCAGTTTGAAATTCCCTGTAGATCACCCAGATCAGCATATGCCTGATGATGGCTGGAGGGTACAACGGTCAAAATGTTGTGATAACAATAATGATGAGGCCAATAGTCTGCTTGTAAATAATGTAAATAAAAGGATAGTTATTTACTTTTAATTTCAGAATTTATAAAGATTGTTGTAAGTCATCAGAAAGATTTTTAACTCCAAAAGGGAGAAGATTGCAATGTCACTGAATGATGGTAACACAGTGTTGTATAATTGAAAAGAAAAATTGAACAGAGAAAGAAAATGGAAACTTTGGCAAGATAAGAACAAAATAAATGGCTTTAAGAATGTCACAAAAAGGGATTTGAGAAAAATTAAAAGTGGATTGATCACCAATAAAATATTTGAAGAATCTGGTTTTGTGAATGTTTACAGAGAGAAAAGATTAAGAATATTAAGAAAAATGGCAAAAGACATGAAACTACTCCCTTTAAGTGAAAAAAGGAATATGAAAATTGGGTGAAGAAGTACATGAAAATGATTTCTCAACTGTAATTTTCATTGATGAATGTAAAGCTACATTGGATGGACATGATAACTGAGATGGAGATTAGGTCCCTTATGGAAATAGTCAACCAACATGACAGAAGAAAACAGGTAAGTGGAGTAATGTTTCAGGTAAATATTGTAGGAAGTAAAATTATATGTCCCTTCAAAGTTGTTGATGGTATCAAAATGAATGTAGGGAATTATTGTAAGTTTTTGGACAAGATATTTTTTCATTGGAAGAGAAGCTTAAAGTTAAAGCGTATATTCATCAAAGACAATAGTCTTTTACATTCTGAAAAGCTGACCATTATCCATCTTGCCAAAAAAGATAGTAATCCAATAGAAAACATGGAATCCATCATTAAAGATAGATGTATATAAGAATGGAAAGCACCATTCAAAGAAGCTTTCTGGGAAGAATACTGAAAGTAATATTAAAGCCAAAACTATAGAATAATTAAAAAAAATTAATGATTGAAAGGCTGATGAAGTTTTTAACATGCCAAGATCCGATATTAGCTTGTAAAGTAAATACTAATTTATTCACGTATATATGATATTGTGTTAAAGAAATCTCTGTCTCTGGTGTAGAATTTTGGGATGTATAGATAAAAATCTAAGTGATATTGAATTTGTTTGAATAATACAACCTGACATCCCCCACAAACAAATTATTATCAAATATTTTTTTTAATAAGAACAGATATTATAAGCTGAACCTCATACAATATATTCATCATAAAAAAATATATCTTGCAAATTTTACTAGCAATAATGAATTAATACCAATGTTATTTTTAAAAACTGACATGCATAATAAAATCTGGTTCATGTGTATGTATATATATATATATATATATTATACACACACATAATTTTCTTTCTTTCTTTGTATTCTTTTTTCTATTCTATCATTCTTTCTTTCCAACCTGATAGTTGAGCTTAACATATAAAAAGAAGGAATTCAGAGAAGATTCATTGGTAATATATATTTTAAAAACTTAAAAATTAAAATGAAACCTCTTTAGAGGAGATACTATGATGTAAAACTGACTGAATATTTATTTGCATTTGTGAGTTGATATGATTGTATGTATATTCCTATAAGCCTCTGTGCACACACACACACACACATATATATATATATATATATATGTAATATTAGTGGTCAATATATATATGTATATATATATATATATTTCCAAGAGGATAAAATCCAGGTAGAGCTCAATGTACAGTACAGAGCAAGAATATAATATAAAAAGCTCAAACACTAATATTCCATGGTTATAATTTATTACATTGGAATTGTAATCACGATCCAATTCATTAGAATTCGTAGGTCTGATGAATTGGATCATAATTATGATCCCAATATAATAAATTATAACCATGGAATATTAGTATTTGAACCTTTTATATATATATATATATATATATATATATATATATATATATATATATATATATTGTGTGTGAATTCTTTACTGTGAATATGAAATAGGGTATATATTTTAAGTGTTTATATGTGTGTGCATGTAAAATTTAGATATAAATAAAACATATCAAAAAACAATATAAATAAAACAAAGTTTTTTATTTTATCTTTTTATATATATAAATATGCTGCTGAAAATTAACTATATATTACTTATTTGGAAATATATATATATATATATATATATATATATATATATATATATATATATATTACTCAAAATCTATGATATTTATGATATAAGAGTGCTTAATATCTAGGATAGAAATTTTATATATATAAACAGTGCAGAATTAGAAATCAGCAATGCATGTTGATTTTCAGTTTCATGCCTTTAGTGATCAGCAGACCATTTCTGAAGATGGTGAAACTGCCAGCCACCCTGTAGTGTTGATTTCTATGTCCACACTGTTATATTTATGTGTGTGTGAGTAAACTTATATTCATGGTTGTGAAAGAAGCTATATACATATAGGTGTGTGTGAACATCTATATATGGTAAAGCGGGTGGGCTTTGGGTGGGGCATGTAACAAACGAAAGAAATGACAAAAAAAAATGGACAACAACAGAAAGTAAGAGGTGATTCCTCCATCTTGCACTGTCTTGACTGTCTGTCTGTCTGTCTGACAATTATCCATCCACCTGCCGGAACACTAATTTTAGGAAGTGAGAGTAGACATTGTCAGTTGTGGCTACCCTGGCTTGGGGGATGGAATGTAAAAAGTAACCATAGTCTTCCATCTGTGCTTCTGGGTTGAACACCGCCTCTACGTCTTTGTTGATTTCGTTTCATTGGATTCACTGCTGTTACTGTCCTCACGACTCATGGCTAACTTCTTCATCTGGCGAATGACAGCAGTTGCATTGTATGCTTGCTGAAGGGAGATAGAAAATAAATGTAAGTCACTGGCAAGGAAAAAAAAAAAAAATGAAAACATACACAACATATCAATGTGTGGGTGGTGTAATGGATAGTGGCTTGGATTGAGGAACTGGAGAGCCGAGTCCATTACATTCACTTATACATTTGGGATAGGTATGAATACATCTCATCTTCCCGCAGCTAGCAGTAAATAGCAGAACAGAACTAGGCCTTGGTTGGCAACCAGTTTAAGAGAAGGTAAACTCAAACTAGCCTGGAGAGGATTGGGCTTCATCAAATTATCTTGCCCAAGAGACACCACTGCTGCTATAGCTGCAGTAAATGTGCTGTCCCCATGACCCTCAATGGTTATGGGATTTGTTATCATGATTGAACATATAAATACAAACAACAGGGTTAGGGTCCTTGCTGTAAAGGTAGGATTAGGATTAGTGTCTCTATTGTAGATTAGGGTTAGGATCTCTGCTGTAGAGACAAGATCAGGATTAGGATCTCTGCTGTAGAAACAGGACCAGGATTAGGATCTCTGCTGTAGAGACAGGATCAGGATTAGGGTCCCTGCTGTAGAGGCCGGATTAGGGTTAGGATCTCTGCTGTAGAGACAGGATCAGGATTAGTGTCCCTGCTGTAGAGGCCGGATTAGGGTTAGGTCTCTTGCTGTAGAAACAGGGTTAGAGCTCCTGCTGTAGAAGCAGAGTTAGGGTTAGGGTCCCTGTTGAAGAGACAGGATTAGAGTTAATGTCTCTGCTGTAGAGGCTGGATTAGGACTAGGGTCTCTGCTGTAGAGGCAGAATTAGGGTTAGCAGGTGAGTTTCAGTAAGCATACTAGAAAAGTATATAAGAGTGGATTAATAAGTCTGTAGTCCAAATTATGAGCTGAACTTTGATCTGACCTTTTTACTGTATAACGTTTAATCTATATAATTTGATCTGTCCCGGAAAGGGATATATTTGTTCGAAGTAGCAAAGTGGTTGTGGACTACTGTAACCAAGTAGGACAATCTAGCAGGTAATCGTAATGGACTGGTCCTCCTCGTCATAGTGGTAGGCAATAGGCATAGGCAATAGGCAAAGATATTAGGCGTAGTCCATGTACCTCCACATCAGTCTGTATTTATGGCTGACACCAGCCAATCATTTTACTGTGAAGGGGAACCCAGGTGTATGCATATTCATTACATCATAATTAATAATCACCACTGAATTAAGGAAGATTATAAAGTGGACATAATTAAAATAGGTAAGAGAAAATATTCAACTTCAGTGGTTGGCAATAGAAAAAGAAAAAAAAATGAAATATAAAGAAACAAAACAAAATACCCAGAATGATTATATTATTACAAAATATATATTTTCTTTTATAAGCACTGATTATTATATATTGAAATTTAAAATTTTCTACAATTGCATATATAAAATATATGAATGAGCTAACTGAACTTAATTCTTAATTAAGGAAATTAAAATATTTTACACATCAACTAAAAAAGGGGAATATCATCATCATCATCACAGCTATGTTTTTTTGTTTCATCAGGACTTGGATTAATCTTGCACAAAGCAAAGTGGGATATAGGATCTCAGTTTATCTTTTCAGGTATGCCTGTCACTAATATCAGCTAGTTCTAGGCCTAAATTTGTTTTTGTTCTTCCAAAAAACATCCTCCCAAGTCATCTTGGGCTATCCTCTTCCCCTGCTGCTCTCAACCATCACCTCATGGACTGGCTTAATAGGTTCCCTTGCCCCACTAAACATGACCAGCCCAGCATAGTCTATGACTGAGCAGCAGTAACTCAAGGTCATCTTCTAAAATCTAGCTTCTTGAGAAGCGAGTCTGACCTGACTTCATCCTCATGATACGAGGAAGAAAATACACATGTATCAATAATATATCGACATGGGTATATCTATAAACAGATCACACAAAGTCCTAACAAGTAATCCTTTTGTTTGTATAGGGATGCTTCTTTTGATTTAATTTAAATTGTTTCAAGGAATTTTAGGTGATAGAATGATACATTCAAAACTGATAGATATCCACACAGAAGGATAATGCACATTCCCAAATTTTAATAAGAGATTGCAGATTTGGATGTGATGGAACACATGCAAATTATCCAGTTGACTTTTTCTAACACATATTAGGTGATTCTTTCTTTAGGAGCTAAGTGGTACTATCTATGTAGCCAGCTTCACACAAACACTTAAATTGGAAAAACAGACACATTGATATAAGAATTTATGCAGTTTAAATTATGTTTTAAAATGTAAAATTTACACAGAAATTAAGGCAAATGCAGGAACACATGCATGCAAAAATGCAACAAGCTTGTGGTGAAAATAAGTTCAGATTGAAAGAAATCAAATTATAAACAACACACATTGCAGTAGCTTGTGACTATTTCTCTGTAGAGATGAAAAACCACAAAAGTGGATGTTAATGAAAATGACATCCTTTTGAAGAAAGAAAAACAAGATGACATTGATGGCATTCAAGATGACAAAGACATCTACTGTCTTGACAACATGAGAATGTACATATTGCAGTGGATGCTCAAATAGTGTGGTCTTGGTTATTGTCTAGTGACAATAACATTAAAACTAAAAATCAATTTGTTAAGAACAGACTGAAGGATATTTTTAAAGCCCTAGAAAATTTGCGGTCTGATTATGGATTATCGGTTATGTGCCTTCATTGCAGAATCCTAGTGATTTAATCACTAGTGGTCTGTCCTTTGACAAATTCAAACAGAACTTTAAATTTTGAAGTTCTGGCCCTACCTGGCTTACAGAAAATCCTTTGGCTTGGCTGGAAAGCAGTTTGAGTTACCTCAGTGTTGAAAGTAGAGTTATTGTTCATAGTGAAATGCATCACAATACTAGTTCTATTTGTTCGAATGAACCTATTTAAGATTTGGCCAAATATTCTAAGTTGTCTAAATTAGTACGAGTTACTGCTACAGTGTTTAAGTTTATAAATACGTTAAAGCATTCTGACGCTGACCCCAAACATTGTGCAAAGGCCTATCTCTTTAAATTAATGCAACAACAATCTTTTGATAGGGAAATACAATATCTTGAGAATCGTCTAGACAAAGAAACTCCAAGTTTAGTTAAGGATTTAAACTTATTCAGAGATAAAGAGGGATTCATTTGTTCCTGTAGGAGAATTGCTAAAGCAGATATGTATCAATTTGAAGTTATTTATTCTATATTGCTATCTAAATGTCACCTTTTAACCAATCTCATTATCTTTGATTGCCATGAAAGATTCAAACATCTGGATATTGCTGCTACTTTGAACAAAGCTAAGGCCCGACAGACTATTAAAAAATGCATCTCTAGCTGTTACCTCTGTAAGAAGTATAATGCTCTTGCCTTTAATTACTCTAAGCTAACTAACCTACCTAAGCACAGGGTTAACTTGATTCAGTCCTACTTCCACACTGAAATAGAATTTACTGGGCATGTGTGGGTTGGTAGTTGTGAGGAAGCAAAAAAGATGTACATATTGGTTTTTATTTGTATGAACATTCCAAGCAGTCCATATAGAATTGGTGAAGGAAATGAGCACTCATGCCTTTGTGCCTGCCTTCATTCAATTTACTAACATCTACGGTATTCCTGCCCACATTTATAGTGATAATGCTTGGTCATTTCTTGCGGGTTGCAATTTTGAGAAAGAATTCCTGACTTCCAATATGTTCGTAGAGAGATTTGGTGTATTTAATATCAGACACCTTACAATTCTCTTGTATTCTGTTTGGATAAGCAGTGTGTGTGAACATATGATTAAAGCTATCAAGTTATGTGTATATAAGTCCATTGGTAGATCTTAGGCTGACTATTTTGAATTACTACTCTTAGACATACAAAGGGCAATAAATTTCAGACACCTTACAATTCTCTTGTATTCTGTTTGGATAAGCAGTGTGTGTGAACATATGATTAAAGCTATCAAGTTATGTGTATATAAGTCCATTGGTAGATCTTAGGCTGACTATTTTTTGAATTACTACTCTTAGACATACAAAGGGCAATAAATTTCAGACACCTTACAATTCTCTTGTATTCTGTTTGGATAAGCAGTGTGTGAACATATGATTAAAGCTATCAAGTTATGTGTATATAAGTCCATTGGTAGATCTTAGGCTGACTATTTTTTGAATTACTACTCTTAGACATACAAAGGGCAATAAATTTCAGACACCTTACAATTCTCTTGTATTCTGTTTGGATAAGCAGTGTGTGTGAACATATGATTAAAGCTATCAAGTTATGTGTATATAAGTCCATTGGTAGATCTTAGGCTGACTATTTTGAATTACTACTCTTAGACATACAAAGGGCAATAAATTTCAGACACCTTACAATTCTCTTGTATTCTGTTTGGATAAGCAGTGTGTGTGAACATATGATTAAAGCTATCAAGTTATGTGTATATAAGTCCATTGGTAGATCTTAGGCTGACTATTTTGAATTACTACTCTTAGACATACAAAGGGCAATAAATTTCAGACACCTTACTTACTGTTGCTCAAGCTTTTTTTGGTTTACAATCACTCATTATCTACATTACATTATGATTACTGCCTCTCTCACTAACCTGATGGGCTATCTTTGTGATGTCATGTCACAATTGAGCAGGCTGCCTTCTTTTGGTAGTCTTGGTTAAGTACGTTTTCAACAGACCCAAAAGAGTATTTAAAAAAAAAACTCAAAAGGATCCAATCCTAATGATCCCTATGTGTAGTACTAAGTTCACAACTTGCATCCTGGGCAGGATGTTAAACTGCAGTTGGGTGATGACATTAAATTGCACCAGTGACCTGGGTATGACTTCTAACTACCCTGGTATTAACATAAACATTGATTTACCAGGCATCATTTTGGGGATTTGTATGTCAGGGCCTCTGAAATCAGAGAATTTTAGGCTGGTTGTGGCATTGCTTCCTTGATTCTCAGCCCACAAAGTCATAGAACTTTGGGCCCTGAATATGCTATAAATTTAATTTTAAACTTACATTTTAATGTATCTATTCCTTTCTCTTGAGGGATAGATTAGATTACTTAAATTGAAAAATGACTCATTCTCAGTAAGTTCCCTTTTATAAAAATTCAGAAAATGTACTTGCTCATTGAAAGCGTTGATCATAGGATTCTGTACTCCTTAGAGCCTCCAGAATCATAGAATTTCAGGCTGGTATTGTTTCCTCATTTTAGGCCCCCAAATACAAAGAACTTTGAGTTTCAAATATGTGAATAATTTGATTTACTCTTTTAAAATAAGTTTAGTAGTAAAATTGCATTATTATTTCTATATTTTTCCAAGGTGGGATTGATTAGATTTATTCATGGAAAATTAAATCTTACACTTTCTGTAAGGCTTTCCTAAAATGTTTCTAAAATAAATGTATTTCCAAATGAATGGGCTTTAATTGGATTAATTCCTCCATATCTTACACTGTTCAAGCATATTTGGGGGTGGGAAAATGGGATTTTGTTTCTGCAACAAACTGAAGTTTATTGCATCTTCCTTTAAGGGAAAAGTTCCCACGTAAAAAGGATTAAGGTTAAAGGTAACAGAATTGCTAAAAGCAACAACGGCTTGAAAGTTTAGAGTGAAAAATTTCTCTTTTTAAGGTGGTAGAATAAAGAATCAAATACCTGCTTGAGGTGTAAACAATAGAAGAAGAAAATGTTTATTTAAATACACACAACAAAAAGGTAAAGGGATATATACAAAATATGAGAGAAAGAAAGGAAGAAGAAAATTCCTTTAACTTAAAGGAAGAAAAAGTGTTCATATAAAGGCTTGCTCAAAATATTTCTCTGAGTGCTTAAAAGTTCTTTAAACAAATAAATTGTTCTTAAGAGGTTAACACTCACATAAGATTTCTTCAGAGCTCTTGTTAAGGGGGAAACAATCTAAAGTTCCGTACTTTGTAGATGAGTAAGTTCGTAAGCTGACAACAAGAATTTCAAGGTCATAGGAAGCAAATCTCGAGTAGTTTTAATAGAGAGACAGTGTTCTGTCTTTAGAGCCCAGCATGTAGATTTCTTCCTTGAAACAGGTTCCAAAGAAGACTGGTGTTACTGTCGCCAACCTGATATTATCACAGACAATGCCCAATACTCATTGCCAAAGAGGCACATATTCTCAGTATTTATCGAAATTACAAGGCTCAGAAATATTGGGAACTTTTCCCACCAAAATTGCTTATATGCTTTTCCCCAGCACTCTTATTCGTCAGAAAATATATTCTTATCTAGGATAAGAATTAAATGTTTGAGAAGCAAGGGTCGACAAGTTGTGAGTGTGTGTGTGTCCCAACTTTATGGTACTATGTTCAAGGCTGGGGTGGTCAAATTCCTTTTTATATTTTCTAGCTCTCTTGTTCATCAGAAAATATATTCTTATTTCTGATAAGAATCAAGGCTTTGGGAGCCGGTTTTGGAAGCAGGGGTGAAAATTAGGGCAATCTAATTTTTTCCAGAGTTATTTACACTATTGCTATGACTTATTTTTTGTAATCACAAGAGTCTTCATTATAATTGACAAAAATTTCGGATAAAAAAGGATAATTCATTTCAAGTCAATGCATTAGTTCTTTTTTAAAGATACTGGGAGTTTTGAAAATACAACAAAACTCAAATATTTATTTCCAGGAGAATTCTCTTGAAGGAAATCCAAATCAAAGGAACTTCTCAACTCAGTAAAATTATATGTTTTCTAACTTAGAGAAAATTATATGAAATTAAAACTTCAATAATTTTTTTGATGAAAAGGTAGATATACAGGCAAAAATAACTTTGAATTCTGTCTCTGATAGACAACCACACTTGTTCTTTTAAATTTTGACTGAGGCAGAAAATTCATGAAAGAATCACTTTCAGAGAAAACATTCCTTCTTGTAGTTAGACTTGTTCAGTATTAATAAGTAGTTGAGATTGTAATACTGAGTTTTGCCTTCAAGAAAAGATTGTTCTGTACAATTCATTCATTCACCATACCAAACATTAAAAAAAATTAGATTCAAAGGAGATAATTTCAGCTCTTTTACTTCTTCAAACAAATTTGATACTTTAAAAAAATTCTTGGAAACAGTGAAGATTTACAATTCTGTTTTTGAAGAATTGCCAAAAAATTATTTAAGAACAAATTGTAATATTTTAACAAACTGCTGAAAAGTCCAGTGATTTTTTTTCTGTCTAGTGGTTAGGAGAAGAAAAATATAACATAATTTACTGGTTTGTATCTGAGAACTCCCACTTTATTTACATGTAGAAAGGTTTATTTTTTTTTTAATAATCTGACCACTCCAATCAGTGTGGTTTGTAGAACTCCATTCCACACTGAAGTGCCAAGTAGACAAAAAGTAGGAAAAAAAAGGTCTGAGCATGTGTAACTTGCACAAAATAAGCTTTTTGGGGGTTGGGGAATACTTATAGGGTGCTTTTTAATGCCTTCTATGGTAACCCCCCCCCAAAAAAAAAAACCACTGGCATAATATGTACTTAGTTATGGAAACTACTCCAGTTAAGTGTTGAGTTAATTCCCCTTGGCAAAATGACAGTTTGGAAAAAGTAGATCTACACAGGTGGCACTGCTAAGTTATTTCCATGGAAATAGTTATAAGATTATTATTGACCAATCATTGAGCTGGCCTCATATATATATAAATAATACATAAAAGGTTAATGGTCAGAGTTGAATCAGACCAGAAAACAGTGGTATTAAAAAGTGCTCAATACACATGTGAAAAAAAAAATATAAGTAAAAATAACATGTAGGGCTTTAACTTTAAAAATCAGGAGGTCACTTGAATCTGTTACCTTGGTTCCAACCAAACGGTATCCTCAGGTGATTTTTATCAAATGACCTCTTAATGCTTTATTTTTAAAAAAAAACTAATGGACACTATATTTATTTATTATTTAAAAATAATATAGCATTCTGTTGTATTGTCGAGGTGAATAATACACAGAGAAGAATGAGTGCTTAATATATTTATTCAGCACCAGTATCCAGTGCTTACGGATACATACAAAAAACACAGAACAATAAGTTACAAACAATTAACAAGACAACTTACAAGGAATATAGGAGGTTCAAATGCTGTATAGCCAAACGAAGTAAGATCAGTCTAAATATTAATCAGCTTAGTATCAACTTATTAATCAACTGTTAAAGTCTTTAATCTTAGACTATTTAATGCTATGAGCCAGGCCATCTGGTAGAGTGCTGAAGGGGTGCTAGTTACTCTACAACACATTCATTAGTTTTTTTTAAAAAAAATAAAGCGTTAAGAGGCCATTTGATAAAAATCTCCTGAGGATACTGTAAGGTTGAAACCAAGGTAGTGGGTTCAGTTGACTGCCTGATTTTGAAAGTGTGTATGTATATATATATATATATATATATATATATATATATATATATATATATGCTAACCAGAGAGAAGAGGGAAGCCATCTTGGAGTGAAGGTGACCAGAGTGAAAAAGGTGAATCCAGCAGGAGTTTAATAATAAGTACCTGACTCCTCCTGCTATCCTCTACCTTTACAAGAACCAGATCAGACTGAAAAGGGAGTAAAGCTTCTATATAAGGGGCAGTCTTGATAGAGTCTAAAAGTGTGGGTGACTTTTTTCCACCCTACAACCACTTTCCCATAGATGAGATGTCGCAAGTCTCTTACTGCTCTATCACTATTTCCACGGAAATAGTTCCACCAGTTATAAACTTCATGGCAAGAACCCACCATGCCATGTACCTTGTATAGCAAACCACACCCATTCCCTTCATATTCCCCTTTGGTGAGATGTAAGTTACACACGAACAGATTCTTCCTTCAAACTGCTGCATTGTGAAGCCGAATCCTAACAGGATGCTTCTCCAGTTGTTACAATCTTAACCTGTTCAAGTTGACACAATTGAATAAAGATACAATGAGTGTCATGACAATTGAATAAAGATACAATGAGTGTCATGACACATTTGAATGAGTGACATGACCCTTGATCATGCCATCTTGACCTTATTTAATCAAGTCATATTGCTGAATATTAACTAAAATATCACTTTTGATATATTTTAGCACAAAGTAAAAATTAAAATTAAAATCCTGTTTTGACGGACATTTTTAGAAGTTATTGCTTATTTGCAAATATTACAATTTTTCATAAATGTATGATGATACTTACTTTCCATTTTATTTTTGCAAAGTTCTTTTTCATCTGGGCACTGACTGATGCATGGATGTTCTTGTCCAATGCAGTATTTCCACTGATCCTGTAATGGAAAAAAACAAAGAATATTTAAAGCTTGACAAAGCAAAATTCAAAATACATTTATGAAAGGTTATAAATTTAATGTGTGTGTCACATGAGGCATTATGCAATGGTTTTATTGGAAGACATACAGGAGGCATTATGTAATGGTTTTATTGGAAGACATACAGGAAGTGTGGTTAAGACAGTTCTAAGAAGAACAATGTGTATTGGAGGGAAATGAAATAAATGCTCCTCAGATAAAATATTGGATTTGACATTCCAGATACTTGAAAAAGTGTAGAATGTACAGCAGTCAATAAAAATGAGGAAATCGTTATGAGTGTACCAATTAAAAATTTGATCACAACACATCTTAAAAATTCTGATAAAAATTGAAGACTAAAGCTGCTTCAGAGTAAATTAGTTTGTAGTATGTGATTCATACCAAGAAATAGCAGAAGTCTGAATTGAATTTAATGCGCCCCAGGAATCTTTGATCTAAGAAGAGTTGATCTGTGGTGACCCCAATATGCACTGGGTTCACACTAAGAAATACCAAAGTAAGCTTTAGTACTTGGTGTCATCTCAGAACACTGAAAGAGTGAGATGTCTCAAAAGTTGGCTGAGAAGGTGACTTTAAAGCCACCAAATGCAGAATTGGGCCTTAAAAACAGTCCGTGAGTATGCTGACATAAACAGGAAGTGAACTCAACTGAACTTTGGATATATGCACACACGGCAACCGATTAATAAGAAGTTATATAAATGTGCCAGTTTATGTGGGAGTTTTTTACATTCTTGTAAGGAAAAGATTGAACGTTCAAAGAAAGACCTAAAACACATGCCTTTTCATTAGCGGATGTTAATATGACAGAATCCAGAAATGAATATACAATTACTTTTTGCATAAGAAATTTAGTCTTGTATTCTTATCAGTCATTACTAACAATTACAAGTTGATGTGTCAAAAAAATTGCCAATTATTCAATTCTTTTATGATTCATTGTTCGCAGTAAAGGACAAGAGAAATGAGAATTTGTCATTGAGACAAGACACTTACCATGGATGATTGAGAGACTGTTTGCATGAATAACGAATACTTGCATCCTTACACATGAGATTCCGGATGAAGTCCTTGGCTTTTGAATAGAAGAAGGCAAAAATCAGTTATCCAGTGACTATATTTAGATGATAAAGAATCAGTAATCCATTGTATGCATAGAGGGATTTAAGGTGTTTTTAATAGCAATCAGATAATTATTAATCTTTTTCTTGGAATGATTTGATCCATTATTATGAATTAAATACAGAATCAGTTTTATAAGCAATATATTTAGACTTTTAATAAGGATTTATTAGAAACAATGACCTACACATATTAAATTAATTCTTATACACTTGATAAAATATTATTAAAAGTAAAATTTGCTAATAAATGTAGAACATTGATTTTTTTTTTCCTGTCACCTTTGGTTGTAAATTGTTAAATTAAATAATTTTCTGAGTGGAAAAATCAAAACAAATGAGAATTTAACAATATATTTTATAAAAATTTCATTGAATCATCAGCCTTCAGCCTAGAATAGAAGGGTAAGATAGACAATTCAAAATTAATTTGCATTCAGAACAAAAAAGTAGAGAAAGTTGGAATAAATGGACAATTGGAATAAAAAGAGGGGGTGGGAATAAAAGTAGAAAATAAAAATAAATGGGGAGTTTGGAATAACATTGGGTAGGTTGGAGATAAAAAAAAAATAAAAATCTAAATAGGCAGGCAGACTCGTCTGTTTCAAACATGAGAGGAGTTAATGGACTTGTAGTAATCTTGTGATCAAGAGAAATATAAAAAAAACAAACTAATTTCCCTAGGAAAAAAGAAACCACCCTACTGGTGGGAAATTGAGGGTCATCCTCTTTTTCATTGACCTATTACCAAGAGAGCACATGAATTTGAGCAGCTTCAGGAATAAAGACCACAGATAAGTTCTATGCAAATATCCCTTTCTCATGTTTACTATTATCCTTTTATGATAGACTTATCATTTGCAAATAATTTATTCATTTACAAAGACAAACACAGAGAGCAGAAACATTTAACAAGAACATTACAAAAACTTTCATATATCTACTGAATTAGTACAACAAAATCCTTCTGATAAAGAAATCCTTCTATATATATATATATATATATATATATATATATGTGTGTGTGTGTGTATAAATGTCTTACTTTGTTTTTATGCTGTATATATGTATATTTTACTAACCAAAAACAGGAGTCAAACAAGGCCCATCATAAAAGACTGATTGATGTAAACATCAGGGCCAAAAGGGTCTATGGATGCAATGCATACACTGCATGCCTTACATTTTTCCCAGGATAAATAATTTTGTATAATATAAAATTAATTATTGATAATTTTCACTATCCTCTTTGTACTTTTGTTGTTTAATGAGAAAAGAGGCAAGTAAAAGCGATGAATTTGCTAGCCTTTTTAGTAAGGAGCATAAGAAACAGAATATAATAGTGAGTGGGTGATAGAGAGAGAGTCACTAAAAAGCAGAAATTCTTTTGCTTCTGTTAGAAAAGGCCATGGCATTAGCCTTCCCAGTTTTATTATTCCCATCAAGCTGGGTACATGTAAAAGAGACTGAATAATAATGTGTACACAGAAAGAAAGCCACCAAAAAGCAGAAATTCTTTTGCTTATTTTCCAATTGTATTAAGACAGCAGACACTCTCTACTGAAGTGATGATGTTTTTATTGTGTGTGGCTGAAATCAAACACTTGCCTATTCAAAGGACTTATAGTCAGACAGATTTAGACAAAAAAAAATTGTATTCTTTGGTTCTGAAGAGTATATAGGGAACGTCTGACAACTTTTGTCACATCAAAAATTCTTTCTTCTTATTGACTTTTAAAATGTTTTAACCCATGGAGAGTATTCTTGACCCCTCCAGATTCAATCATGTGACCATTACCCAGAAAACTTTTGACTAGTTCATATGTGGAGTGACCAGCAAAGTCTATTTTTTTGTGATTAAAAGCTACGTTTTCATCTATTTTAATGCTTTAAAATTTAATTTTAAATGTTCAAAATTATCTTTTTAAAGTTATGAAAAAAAATTCTTGATATTATTGTATATTATTTCATTAAACATGTTAAATTTTGTTAAAAACATTTTTTAAAAATTACTGCAATACTAAAATTAAATTAAAAGTATTTAAGTTCAAATTTCATATATTAATGCTGGTGTTATTTTAAAGAAGAAATATTAAACTTTATCTTAAAAGAACATTTGGGTAATTAAAACAATATAATTTAAAACAATATTAATTTAGTTTATGTCAAAATCATGACTTTTCACTTTTCCAGTCATCAATCAATGCCATTTTCTGACACCTGTCATCAAGAGCTAAGTAACTTATTTAAACATTTTAAAAAAATTAAAATAAAAATGTCTGTCTCATTAAAACAGAAACTGTTAATTTGATGAACGGTGAACAAGATTAAACCAAAATTACTAGAATCTACTAATTGGAGGAGAAAGTTATCAATGATAATGTAATGACATCAAATCTGTGGTTATCTCCCTTTAACCCCCCCCTCTGGACCTTCTTTGTTATGGGGCTGTTTGAGCCTTTTTACCAGGATTTCCCTTTGATGAGGTGCAAGCAAATTTTCATGCTGAAAATGCATCCCAGAGAAAAAAAAGTTTTGGAATCATAGCTCTAACCTATCCCTGAATGGTATTGAAATCTGGTAGTTTTTGGTGGTGATGGGAAACTGTTATACTGGAACATACCTATTCTATTGTTAATAGACTCTCCCACTTATAATAAGTAGTAGTAGTAGCAGTCGCCGGGGCTCAGTGGAGTTGGTGAGTCAGTTGATGTCGGACATTACAGTATCAACCACAACAACTAGATTGCTGCGTCATTAACTATTATTTCAAGTTCCTAACGTTTTGTACGTCGAACCTATTTTAGGACCAACTTAGTGAAATACAAGCCTCCACTGTGAAAACTACTCTACAACAGAAACACAGTGAAATAATTCCTGTACAACTGGTATTTATAGACAGTGTGGACATAGGAATCAACACTATATGGTGACTCAGTCTCATGTTTTAATACAATCTTAAGACCAAGTGTGTTTATATCTACAAACGTTCTATCTTTGATATTGAGTGGTCTTCCCAATAAATACAGCAAATTTTAAACAATATATAATGTACATATCATTCTTTTTTTTCATGTGGAAAACTTTTCATGGAGATACTACACTCTAAACCAAAACTGAAGTGATCATCCATACATATATAATCCCATCATTTTTGATGGGTAGTATATGAATAAGAATAAAATAAAAATGATTTTGTGTTTGCTTACCTGATTCCGAAATTTCGTCCCAGTAAGGCGAATCAAATTCATATTCAGCCCTGAGGATTTGTTTAAATAATTCTGCATCATGTTCATCATAAAATGGTGGATAGCCACATAACCTAAAAAAAAACCCCCAAAAAACAGAATAATAGAATAATGAAGGCTTGGATTAGTAATGCAGATAATCCATTAGGGATATAAGAAGATATCTAATGGCTAGACATTATATTTAAGATACAAGGTACATAGATACTACCAGAAGTACCATACTTTGAACCCCAGATTGAACACACACATGCACAGGTACATAGATAGGCTGATCCATATGTAAATAATCCTATCATTTTTGATGGGTAATCATATCTCTCTCTCTCTGTCTCAGTGAGAGAGAGAGAAATGTTTAGTTTGTCTGAGAGAAAGAGAGAGAGAAATGTTTAGTCTGTCTGAGAGAAAGAGAGAAATGTTTAGTCTGTTTGTCTGAGAGAGAGAGAGAGAGAGAAATGTTTAGTTTGTCTGAGAAGGAGAGAAAGATATTTAGTTTGTTTGAGAGAGAGAGAAAGAGAGAGAAATGTTTAGTTTATTTGTCTAAGAGGGAGAGAAAGAAATGTTTAGTTTGTTTGTCTGAGAGAGAGAGAGATATTAAGTTTGTTTGTCTGAGAGAGAGAGATACAGATGTTTAGTTTCTTTATCTGAGAGAGAGAGAGAAATGTTTAGTTTCTTTGTCTGGGAGATAGAGATATATTGAATATTTTTGTCTGAGAGAGAGAGAGAGGGAGAGGGATGTTTCATTTCTTTGTCCGATTGAGAGAGTTTCTCTGTCTGAGATAGAGAATGAGATGTCAAGTTTCTTTGTCTGAAAGAGAGAGAGAGAGAAAGAAAGAGAGAGAGATAAATGTTTATTTTCTTTGTTCAAGTGAGAGTTTTTCTGTCTGAGAGAGGAAGACGTTGAGTTTCTTTATCTGGAAGACAGAAACTTAAAGTGTTTATTTGTGTGTGTGTATGTGTGAGAAAGAAAAAAAAAGAGAAGATGTGAAATGTATTGATGTTTGTAACACTGAGATGGTGGCTAAAAGGAGATCTTTATACTCCAAATCAGATCTTATCTGAGCTGTTATCTTAGAGAGACCAGCCAGGCTGAGGGGCTTGACTCACTCACTTCACCTGACTATACTAGCCAATCTACTTTCATTCTGACTCAGCTTTTGCTCTCCATTTATACAGACTTATACTTCAAATCCGTGCTGCATACTTGTCCACACAATGTCAAACAATAAAAAGTAAGATAAAAGAAAAACTAGTTAAATAATTATAATAACTGAAGAAAGCATGTGACCCAATCTTAGATCATTTATTGAATGTCTCGCAAAAGGGGGGATCAAAAATGAGAAGTTGTCAAGATCAAGCTTTTTATTATTATTATTGTTTTTATTATTTATTATTATTCTTGCTATTTTTTTTAATTATTATTATTGTTGTTGTTAATTAACATTATTATTTTTATTAATTATTATTAATCATTATTATTGTTATTTTTATTAATTATGATTTTTATTAATTATTATTGTTGTTATTACTTATTATTTTTATTAATTATTATTATTAATTATTGTTATTTTTATTAATTACTGTTAATTATCATTATTATTATTATTTTTATTAATTATTATTATTGTTATTTTTATTAATTACTGTTATCATTATTATTACTATTATTTTATTAATTATTGTTATTATTATTATTGTTATTTTATTAATTATTGTTATTATTATTATTGATTAATGTTATCATTATTATTATTATTATTTCTTTTGATTTCTGTAGCATACACATTTCCTTCCAGGTCCCAACCAGTGACCTAAGGTCAGAAATAGCTTCATGACATTTCCCACTGATCATTAAAAAAAACAAACAAAAAAAACCTAAGCTCACACACATTCCACAGAGATAAAGCTTCTTTGAATTGTGTGAGCTGTATCCATGAGTACAATACTTTGTATTTCCTCAAAGCATGGGCAACCAGAAATATCCCTTATGAATTCATTGGAATACTTTTCCAATCAATTTGAGGGCTCCAACTACAACTGGAATTATCAATGTTGTCATTTTCCACTTCAAGATCCTTGAATTTTGATAGTTTTTTTGAACATCTTCAAAGATACATTACAATCTACAAGAATTGCCATGTCAATAAGAAACTGCATTCAGCCTCTGCAATTATTATTATTAATTTTTGTTGGACCTTTTTTAGATTTTATTTTGTTACTCTCAAGAATCAAATAAAAAGTGTGTGTGTGTAGAAATTTTCCAAGCATAGCTTAGATGTGGCACAAGGCCAAAATTATGGGGCATCTAATGAGGATCGAACTCACTTTTCAGTAGTAATGTATCTAGCAAGCCAAGCTTGCTAAAAAATTTTCAAATAAAATTACACCACGCCGAGGTGCCCAAGTGTGTGTGTATATATGTGTGTGCGCATGTGTTAGTTGGGTGCTATAATAAATAAAAAGTTTAGAAAAATAATCAAAAAATATAATAAACTGGGGCAGGGATTATTAAAAGTGGGGTTCAATAAATGGGACGATTGGGAAATGATTAAAAACAAATCTTAAAAACTGAGAAAACACATCAAAATAATATGTCCATTATTAATATCCATTCTTTTCATTTCATTTTTTTTTTTAATCATTTATATAATTTTTAAGAAAATAGCCAAATTAAAGATGGAGTCATAGTAACTGGGAGGGTGTTGGATTATCAGAAAATGTAATAAATGGAGACAGGGGTGGGGATGAGAAGATTTAATAAACTGGGTGTTTCAATAAATGAGGCAGTTGGTAAATGCTGAATAATGTCTTTCCAATTGCAACAAAACCTTGTGGAAATAAAATGTTTTGAAATAAAATGCTTTCACAAAATCAAAAATGTTTTCATGACGTTTTGCCAAAAATAAATGTCTATCAATGGTAAACAAATAATAATATGTCTATAATCATCAAAATCCCTGTAAAATAACCACAACAGCAATGGGAGTAGTAATTCCCAATTATTTATTCTTGGACTAACGAGATACAAATAAAAAAAATATATCTGGCCCCCAGCCACTTAGCTGTTGATATAACACTTGTCGAGGCAACTTATGTCTGCCTGTGGAAGTCCTCCATTATCTAATGAGACCTTCCATTTCTACTCTACATGCCCTCTCCATCCCCTGACCACAGGATGGATTGATGGGGCCAATTGAAGTTTTGCCCCAGAATATGTGTGCAATTGTCCTCACATTTGTGGGGATAGATTTTGAGGTGTCTACGTGTTTCAATGTAGGCATTGAGTTGAGGTTGGTGTTGTCCAATATTGGTGTTCTCCTATATTATTTTGTATTAGGCCCACTGAATCCACGGTATCACAGGTTTCCATTTCTTCTGGTTCATTCGGTTTATGTTGTACATGATAAGGGATCATAATCTGTGTCAATCACCATAGAGGATTCATCAGGTTGCTATGGCCAGATCCCAGGACCTGCAGAGGTATTTACGGTTCTAGATGTGGTTAATCTATTTTCCATGTTGCTATCTTGAACTGACTGTAAATCGTGGTGCCATGAGTTTAAGAGACCCACTCCCTGGGTAGAATGATGCAGGATGTCAACAACTGGATCTTACAGAAGTGACAGTTGCGTAGAGTTACTTGCTTGCCAGTTACTGAGTATCTCTATGATTCTCCATTTTCGTCCAGTAAGGGCCATCTTGATTCTGGATCTAAACAGAATTCCCGAAGTGGGCAACAATGTTCAGTGTAAATTTGTTAGTTCCACATGTGTCTTTTAGCTATTGCCGCCTCTCAGTTCACCAATTTCTCTCCACTGTTTATGTATCTGGTATTTATCTTGTAGAACAGGGTGGTGTTCTTTGATAACATGACCGTATAACTCCAAGTTGCACATTCAACATAGAATATTATGAATATATATATATATATATATAGATTAAATTGTTGTATATTTATAGGTGAAGAGTGCTCAAGATAGTGGTTATGTATATTTATAATATATATATATTAAAACAATAGAATATTATTTTTTATATATATATATATATATATATATATATAAAGATTAAATTGTTGTATATTTATTTTTGAAGAGTGCTCAAGAAATTATGTATATTTATAATATATATATATTAAAACAATAGAATATTATGAATATATATATATATATATATATATATATATATTAAATTGTTGTATATTTATAGGTGAAGAAATGCTCAAGGTCCATATATATATTTATAATATATATATTAAAACAATAGAATATTATGAATATATATATATATATATATATATATATATATATATATATATATATATAAATAATAAATACTTGTATATTTATATTGAAGAGTGCTCAAAAGTATTATGTATATTTATAAATATATATATTAAAACAATAGAATATTATGAATATATATATATATATATATATATAGATTAAATTTTGTATATTTATAGGTGAAGAGTGCTCAAGAGTATTATGTATATTTATAATATATATATATTAAAACAATAGAATATTATGAATATATATATATATATATATATATATATATATATATATATATATATAGATATATAATTAAATTTTTGTATATTTATAGGTGAAGAGTATTCAATAGTATTATATATATTTATAATATATATATATTAAAACAATAGAATATTATGAATATATATATATATATATATATATATATATTAAATTGTTGTATATTTATAGGTGAAGAGTGCTCAAGAGTTTATGTATATTTATAATATATATATATTAAAACAATAGAATATTATGAATATATATATATATATATATATATATATATATATATATATATATATTAAATTGTTGTATATTTATAGGTAAAAAGTGCTCAAAATATTATGTATATTTATAATATAATATATTAAAACAATAGAATATTATGAATATATATATATATATATATAATAAATTGTTGTATATTTATAGGTGAAGAAATATAAATATTATATATATTTATAATATATATATATTAAAACAATATAGAATATTATGAATATATATATATATATATATATATATATATAGAT